GGGATGCAAATGTGTCAGAGTCCAATGTGGCGGATTCCGATCGTGGCACTCATTCAGGCCAGTCAGGACTCGAAACTGCAGCCTATCTCGCACCACACGAACAAGTTGATTTTTTTAGCACCCAGGTAACTTTTTAGAAACCAAATCTGGCCTCTCCTCTTCCGGTCCACTAAAACGGCGTGTCTTTGTTGCTCGCAGACTTGTGACGCTCAACCTCACGCCCTATGCTACCTTCCGGTCGGAGTGTTTTGGTTTGCGGAAAGGGTTTAGGAAAAGGCAGCGAAGATGGGGTGTGCCAAGGATTTTTGAAAAATTGAGTGCAGGAACACAGACAGGACTGAAATCCTCCGTGTTGGTCCGACTGGGGCATGACGAAGGTCCGTCGCTGCACGGGTTTGGCGGGAGAAAAAGGTGCCCGCACGTGACGCGCACCTATGGAAATTCAATCCAAAAAGTATCGTTGAACTTCCCAGTGAGTCGTCGCTCTACATTTCGAGTGAAAAGGAGCAAGTACACGCATCGTATCCTGTTTGTGAATGATGTTTTGTTGGCGTTCGCTACATAATGCCGAATCTGACGTAGAGGGCCTCAATCGAGTGACTTTTTTCTTGTGCTCGTCATCGCCACGTGTGCGGTAGTGGAATCCCTTGGTCTGGTAGCGCTCGAAGCGGCGGCAATAGCTGCACAGAGTATTGGGTCAATGAGGTTCCACTGTCGTCCACGGTACGACGATTAGCTCGTTAAAGGGCAGTAACAACGAATATGGCGGGAAGTGAGTATCGATGATAACAAAACCCGCACCGACAAATCCAGAACACCGAGTTTCAGGAGGAAAGAAATAACGTCCTCCGATCTTGGCGACGGCTTCTCATACGATCCACTCGCATACACGTATCCTTTCCTCGTTGTACGGGAACGGGCGCGGCGGGGGCACGAGAAGTTGGCGTCCGGTAGGATTGGGGCAGTCAGTCCACATGGCAGCGAAGATAAGCTCAAAACAGATCTTAGTCATACATCACTCCAAGCAATCAGATCGTTCGGTCGATCAGCCATACAATCATGTTATAACAACTCTTTGATACGACTCACCACATGTACATACCAAATGAGAGAAGTAAGGTTTGCCATACCTCATCCATTACGATAGAGCGTGACTGGAAGAGAGAGAGGAAGAGAGAGAGAGTATGGACGCTGACCAGGAGGGAAGTGTTAGACCTGTCTCTTATACACATCTAGATGTGTATAAGAGACAGCCACATGTACATACCAAATGAGAGAAGTAAGGTTTGCCATACCTCATCCATTACGATAGAGCGTGACTGGAAGAGAGAGAGGAAGAGAGAGAGAGTATGGACGCTGACCAGGAGGGAAGTGTTAGACAATCTTGTCCAGGAAAGTTCTGGCTTAAAAGCCGAGTGATCGGAATTCACACTTGAAGGTAGTAATTTAGGGACGACAAAAAAAAAAGGAAGCACTTCTGCCATAAGATTCCACCATAGCCCCAGGCCATACACTCACTCACTTCCGACTCGAACCTCGAACCTCTCACTTGCACTGACGATCCCGACCGTCACGTGCCAAATCCACCATAGTGATCGTCACCCCGCCGGCTTAGTCTTGGCACGGCCCTACTCGGATCCTACAGTCCATCGGGCGACCCAGCATACCGAGTGTCCAGACTACAGCCAACTCGTCGGGACTTTTCGACTCGCACCTTCATTCACACCATCTAGCCACGGCTTCCCGGAAGCGCAGATGAGTCGAGAGAGAGATTTTCGGGAGCACTTGCGGAAATTTATAGCTGCGGAATAGAAGATAGATGTTAGGAAGGGTTAGGACTGAGGCAGGGAGGAGTAGAGGAGGGCTCAGGGATCGCCCGACGAAAGCCATGTCCTTTTGATCCCAGCTGCAGCCAATCAGAATCGTCGTGTATCAGGAATTTCCTTCTTACACGGCATGTCTCCTTGACTAAGGGAGATGATAGGGGGTCGACAGGGTATTTCAGCGCGGAGATCAGAGCGGGAAGAAGAAGAGTGCGAAGAGTAGTGTGAAACGGAACCAAGATTCAAACGATCAAGAAGAAGAGGAAAGGCGCGCAAGGTCGAGAGAGAGAGATGGAAAACGGTTACAGAGAGAGAAGGAGCGTGAGCGCGAAGAGGAGAGTGTCGAAGGCAGCGTGGGAAGCGGGGAGGGGAGGCTCGCATGCATGGTGCCGACGCGGAGGCAAAAAAGGGCACCAAAACAGTTACAACTATTTCAAATTGAAAAGTACCATATCCGCGCAGTAGAGCAAGCGCGGGAGAAAAAATCCTATGCCTATTCAGATTCCTACGAAAGTTCCCAGAGCTTTCCAAGATGAGGTTGAGAACTTTCAAGCACAAGAAAGGACACGTCAGATTCTGCTTATTTCGAAATTCCTAACTGTCGTCCTAAATTCCTAGCTCGCTCGCGAAGGCACGCGTAATTCCTATGTAATTCCCAAATTTGCAAAAGAGGAATTTTCAAAAATTGATCCGAGGGTCTCACATATTTTACATCCAGGCCTCGTCGGATGGTCACCCAAAATTCGACACACACACACACACACAAAAAAAAAAAAAAAAAAAAAAAAAGGAAAAAATGGGGGGAGGGGGAGAGGGGAGAAGGGAAGATGCGCAGGTCCGGGAACTATCGCGTCACAGTCTTGTGTTTGCAGTTGTCCTTTGCCTGGTCTGTCAATTCTGAAGAGGGCACTGTTCCGTGGCACTGAGTGAAATCACACTCATGATGATTCCCCTGCAGGTTTGGCCAATGTAACCTCATCCCGAATCATAGTTCTGTACCTGAGGACTTAGGGCCTCGTTCTACACCACTAGAGAACCGTAGGGTCTCAAGTGCGCCCTGACCCGAAAATCGTGATTAGAAAATATTTACTGCAATCTTCGTTCCATGTGCACTTCACAAAATAGTTGAAACTGCTGCACTTGAAACCGAACTCCACGGCTTGACCAATCCTGGACCAGGATCAAATTTTGGAAGAAAAAAAAAACAAAAAAAAGCCCCACTTGGAGTGCTGGCGGTATCCACTGGCACTTGAACTCAAGGCTCCCCGGAGAGGTACCTTGAGCTCAAGTGCGAATTTGCCCCGGTGGCACATGAGTTTCGAGGGCTAGCACTAGAGAGCCGGAAAGTAGAAACAACTCCACGGCCAGGTTAGGGTGGGGTTGAAAGAAGAATTTTCCTTCAACCCCTGAGTTCAAGTGGTGTAGAACAAGGCCCTTATCCCTGTTTCAATCCATTCATCAGTCCAGGGGAAGGCCTCTGCAGAGAAGTTTTCCCAGTGCCATCCCCACCACTGCCACATTCTTTTTTTTTTTTTTACCACTGCCACATTCTTAAAGAGAAGGGGCAATGATTCCACTTGTCTGCCGAGAACTTTTCCCATCAGCCTTTTCATGTACTGCGGTGTGAGATCCTCTATTCATGCCACGCGTCGGTACTACTCGGTAGCAATGATGACACGCATAACTTTTATTTATTAAAAAAAACTTCGAATTTGGGGGTGGTGTTGCAACTTGGCAAGGCCCAATCTTGATAGTTTTTTCAGCCTTTTGGCTAAGATCAAGTGTAGGATCTTCATTTTCTGATCAGTTCAATATCTGACCATTTTAACAAAAACAAAAAAAGGCCAAATCTTGATTTATGCGTGTCATCCTTGAGTAGGGGCTCGGACCCACTAGCCAGGTTTTACAACTTGGGCGAAGCAGTTTTCGTGCATTTTCAATATCTAGATATTGGATGATGCATTCTGTTTTTGGACTGGGGCCACCCCCTCATCACAGGATGGCATGCTGCCTTTATTACGGGTTCACTTTCCTCTCTCGAGTCCGCAAGATTTATGCATGGGGCCTGTTCTTGGGAACTGAGAGCATGAATGTTTCTGCACAGGTAGATCACATTCACATTCGCAGCGACCTTTATAGCATGTTGCTTCACCATTCTGTGACATAGTTGAGTGGAAACAAGCACTTTCCATTTTCGACCGAAGTGCTTCCCGTCCCGCGCGTCGTCCCATTCCAAAGCTCGGTAGGACAGCGGAGTCCCCTTTTGTGCAGCTCTTGTGACGAACGTCCACATTTTCGTATGTCTCCACCTGTTCGTGATGCTGTTTTGTGCAAGTTGCCAAAGGCGGTTGGCGCCAACGTCCATAAAAAAACTGGGAGAGAGGCCATACAACATGCCTGCTGGGTCTATCCTCTGGATTGGCACGCTTTATTCTCTCTGGGTTGGCACGCTGTGAGGAAACCCGGGGAGGGGTCACCTACTGTTCGCTGAGGCCATGAGCAACAGCGCATGTCACTCGCTGCGCCACATCAGAGGTCCTCAGCAACCAGCAGGGAGATGAAGTTTGGATTGCCTGTCACACCCCACGGGAATGCCCAGCCGGAAGGCTATGACGACACTGCCCAAATAAAGACAAATTTGAGCCCGAATAAATAAATAAATAAAGCTACACAGAAGGAAATTTGAGAGGTAAAGCTACACAGCAGCCTCAGTTGAGCTGCAACGAATCCTCCTAATCTACCAGCGAACCCTTGGAGCAATGGCACCCACAAAAATCTGGCACTCCTACCACTACCTTACAGTCGCAAAAAAGGCCTCGCAAGGTTGCGCACCCATATAGGACCTCGGCAACGCATTGCAGTATTCTCGATCGGCCGCAGAGCAACAGTGGGCTTTCGAACATTCATGTGAGCCCGGTAGCACCGCCAGCTCCTATACGACAACACGCGCAGCGGAAGGCCGTTAGTTACCACGGTAGTGCGACCTCCTTGTTGCTAATAGCATCTTGTTCGACAGAAGACCTTGACAACGCATTGCGGGAGATCTCCGTCGGCGGCAGACCGCCTTTCCACGATCGCGTGCATTCTCTTGCCCACCTGTTCTCTCTCTCTCTCTCTCTCTCTCTCTCTGGCCAGGGCTGTGTTATGATGGCGAGACAGCGGTTCATGGTGGTTCCTGCCGACCGGTTTTCGCTTCACCTCGCGGTGCAGGTGGTGCTGGCTGCTGCTGTCCTCCTTGGCTATGGCTGCACAGACGGCGTCCGCTCTCAGCATAGCAAATGAGCAGCAGCTAGCAGCTGCCATCAACGGGATTGCTGGCGTTACGGTCACCATCACCAGCGACATCGTTCTCACCAAAGGTCTGCCGACTATTCTCCACTCTATAACCATCAAGGGAGGGTGCGGCGGCCGCAAGTGCGCCATTGATGGAGTGGGCAAGTTCGGCATTTTCGGGGCTTACGGGGCGGCTCCTGAATGCTCTGTGACCATTGAGAATTTCTTACTGCGCAACGCTGCTGGTACGCCGGCTTACATTGGCAAGTGCAACTTGAAGTTGAAAGGCGTCGAGGACGACTCGAAAAGACCACGTTCAAGTCCAACCGAGCGGAAGGGGATGGCGGGGCCGTGTACATCAATGGCCAGCCGGCAAACACGGTTGGTTACGTCCTCGATCATGTGACCTTCGACTCGAACACGGCTGGGAATGCTGGCGGCGGCATGTACGTAGCCGGGACGTCGCAGGCTGTTGTGAAGGTGTTTGTCTCACGGTGCAAGTTCACGAAGAACGTGGCGACCGGCGGCGAGGGCGGCGCGCTGGCACTCAGCGTGTTGATGGATGCGCGCATCTGTCACACCTCCATCGCCGACGGTGGGAACAAAGCAAACGGCGGCCAAGGCAACAACCTCGCTCTGTTGGACGGCAACTATAACCCTCAAATGACCGTCTCTTTCTGTCCTGCACACCTGAAATCTCTCTCCCTCCATGTCACCGCCGTTGCCAATCCCCCGACCGTCCGTCATCACTGCGAGGTTTGCGAATTGCCAAAGTAAGGGGATTTACGTAAGCTTGATCGCAGGCGCTTAGTTACCCCATTCTCGCGCACGTGTACAGTGCCCCTCGACACTGCTACCTCTGTGCCTCTGGCGGTCCATCCAAGGGCATACGCGTGACGTTTTTTGGGGGCAGCAAGTAGCTCTCATTCCGCCGAAATTCCCGGCATTGTGTTTTTGTGTGTGTGTGTGTGTGTGTGTGTGTGTGTGTGTGTGTGTGTGTGTGTGTGTGTGTGTGCGCGAGAGAGAGAGAGAGAGAGAGAGAGAGAGAGAGAAAGAGAGACGCACACGCAGAGAGAGAGAGAGAGAGAGAGAGAGAGAGAGAGAGAGAGAGAGAGAGAGAGAGAGAAGGCTGCGCTTGGCTGAGTTCTCAATTCGGAACCGGAAATTGTCGATTGGGTGTCTGGGCAGAAGAAGACACCGACGTGTTTCCTATAAGTTTCTTGTAGTTAATTATAGGCAACAAGAAAAAAACATTTTTTGAGTAGGAGGTCAGGTGCATGATGTGAACCTGGCCGTCTACGCAGTGTAGATACCTTCAGAGCGGCCAATTTATCTCTGTCATGATATCTAAGGCAGTGGCCGTATGAGAGGCATCCAACTTCAGAAAATCCGATCAACAATCCTGACCGTCGTTCAGGCAACAGAGTTTCTTTCTTTGACTCAGAGTTTCTTTCTTTGACTCTTCGATGAAATTTCACATCTATGGTATCTTTCCTTTCACCGGAATCATCGCTTGTTTGCTCGTGATTCTCTTGTTGTTTTGTGCGGAAATTTTCGTCCCCTTGTTATAAACTTCTAGACATCTCGCTCTTTTTTTTTTTTTTTTTTTTTTTTTTTTT